AATGGCTGAGGTACCACGGCCTCCCTCGCCTCCTTGTGGAGTATGTACATCATGTCAGCATCAATGGCTTAAACAGTCTGTTTTCCTGACAAATGGCCCAAATGCTGGAATGAAAGTATAGTGACATTACTTTACAAATGGAGTCATGCTCCACAATAGAACAGAATTAGTCTCTCTGATTTTCATTTTGGAGCCTGGCTGATTCCTGGTCTTCTTAAGTCCTTTGCAAAATATATACAACCCATTCCTTTTCAGATCTCCATAGATACCTGTGTGTCCAAGTAAATGATAAAATGCAGGCTCCCGGGAGGCAGGCTGACACCCGCGCTATTTGCAAGGCAGTGGGAAACCCCGCACACCAAGGACCACTGAGCATGCGCGGGGAGCCACTGCCATGCCCTTCCCAGCAGAGCTCACAAGATGTCCAGGCGGAGTGGCACCTGCTGAGGCTCACGTACCTCATACTGGTTCAGAAACATGTGCAGCTGCTGGACACTGATACGCAGGTCAGTCTCATTGAACTCGTACGGAATATTCCAGCCCAGGGGGCCAAATTTGCGCCTCTCTTGGACCAAAGCATGAAAGAAGCACAGGCCGTACAGCAATTTCTTGAATTCTTCCTGCAATGAGAAAATGTGGTATTGTTCTACTGTTGTCGTTTGTGTATAGATTCCTATGCATGCAGATGCTGCAAAGCCTCCAGCACTCGTAGGGTGGCTTCTCAAGTTTGTGATAGATTATTGTGGGTGCAGATGTTGCACCTGCCCTGGGACAAGTAATTTCATTACAATGTAAACCCAGATTATGAATAAAGGGTGAGACAAAGACAGACAACAGGAAATAGGGCCAGGGTCCTTTGCAAATGGGAGGAGGGCCAAGGGGGCAGCGGGAGGGACACAGAAGGGATTCAGCTGTGCTCTGCACACCTACAGCTCCCACGATGAAAGTGATCTTTATGGAGTACAAACACAGACTAATACAAATGTTAAAGTAAGAAGAAAAATTACAAATTCTAATGTGTAGTCCTGGCTCACCTTGAAGAAAATTCAAGAGCTCACTTCACCACTAGACATCCCTGAGACACACTAGGACAGCACCACAGGACACCCTCGGACAGTGCAGCTGCTGC